GTCAAAATTAGTCGCTTAGATTGTGATATTCATTTGGACAAATAGAATAACAAGTGTGTGTGTGTGTGTGTGTTTTATGTTTATGTCATACATACATATGTGTATAATCACCCTGAATGAATAAACTGCAGGAAGAAGATCTCTTCAATGAATGCTATGAGCTTTAATTTGTCATGCTGATCCAGTGCAGTTTGGTAGATAGATGTTTTTTCATTTTCCCAGTCTTAAGACTGAGAAAGAATAACTAGTCCAAAATCACCCAATTGGACTCTATCTATGAGGATAGACTAGATAGAACCTGGACTTCCTCACTTCTGGTTCAGCACTTTAACAACTATACCATACTGACTCTTTGTAATATAGTTAGTGTTATAATTGGCTATAAACCTGCATTTGAGTTAGAATTATGCTAGGGAAAGTCCAACCTTGCTTCTATCCGATAGTTCAGAATCTGGAATTTGAATATTAGTATATGGAATTGCTGATAGGATATCTTCTTCTTGATTTTGACTTCAAAGCTCTATAAACAGAAATAATAATTATTCTATTAGGATTTCTAAAGCATAAACAAAATAGTAGTGATAAAAGTTGCCAATTAGAATACATTCAATTACTCAATTAAGAAAATACAATAAATTTGATTAAATGAAGGTGGTCCTTCGCACAACTTGGTCCCATGCCATATTTTTTATATTTTATTCATTTTAAGATTTAAACTCAGGATGAGGTACAGTATACTAGATCATTTTAGAACACTGCATTCTGAATTTTTCTTCAATATTTTTTAAAATTCAATGACTAAATATAGCTTTCTGAAGGACCTACAGTATATGGGAGATGCAAGAAAGGTTGGATATTACTAAGAGGACAGTGGAACTGAGACTGGAGATCACTTAAACAGTCTGTAAAAATAAGTCACAGAACTGATATAATAGTTATTTTGAGCAATGCAACTGAGATTCAGGATCAATCTGTAAAAAAGAAACAAGAAAATGATAGAATAGTTATTTTGAGTCATTGCTCAGCCTTCAGATCAAGTAAAAGCTAGTCCGGTTGTCATACTATAACTGTTATAAATGTGATAGTAAACATTGTATTAATAGTATGCAGTTTGTTGGCAGAAATTTAGGTTATTAACTATATAATTGTATGGTATAATGCAGTGGTTCTCAATCTTGTTGGCTGCATAAAGCAGTGGTAACAGTGGTGGCATGCAGCAGGGAAGTGGGAGGGGATGGTTTTGTGCACTCAACCTAATCCTGCAAATGTGCAAGTGAAGATTTGTGTGCTTGTTCACCACTTACACGGCCCGCTTCCCAATGGGTTGTGGACTGATATCAGTTTGCGGCCTAGGGTTTGGGGACCCCTGGTATAATGCATAGCTAATGTGATGAAAAATACTGCAGGATCTGTGAAAGACCACCTGAATAAACCAGAAGGCTATTGGAAGAATGTTCCGATGGTGAACAAAATAGAACCTTTCAACTTGAATGAAAAGTGTTTGGTGAGGGCAAACCCTACATTTCAGCATGAGAATCTTATTCCATCTGTGAAATGTGAAAGTTTCATTCTTTGCTTCCTCTGGACCAGAATGGTTTGCCATTATTGATGGAATTATGAATTGTACCAGCAAATTGTACAGGAAAATGTTTGAGTGCCATGAACTGATGCTCAAGAGAAAGTGGATCATGTAGCAAGAAAATGGCCCTGTCATTTGTCAAGTCGTATGACCAAAGAATGGTTAAAGAAGAAAAATGTTTTGGAATGGCAAAATGAAAGTCTTGACCTTAAAGTCCTATTCATATCTTGAACACTACCTAGGAGAAAGACTGAATTTATGTTCCTACGGAAGAACTCTCAAGAGAGTTTCCTCAACTTTTCTTAAAGAACATGCATCTGTAAGTAAGAGCCAGTTTGGAGTACAGGTTATTAAGGTGCTGGCCTATAAACTAGGAGACTGAATTCTAGTCCCAACTTAGACATAAAAGCTGGCTGATTGAGTCAGTCACTGTTTCTCAGTCCAATCTACTTCACAGGCTTGTTTTGGGAAAAATAAATAAAAAGGACTATTGGGTATGCTTGTCATTGATTTATTTATAAAAATAATAATTGCAGTATAAAAATCCAATAAATAAAATCAATCTGGGAGTTGGAGGCAAGCAAATCATTGTTCTTTCTGTGATTCTGTAATGTTCTGAACAGAAGATTCTGTCGGTGTTCTGACCATTTGCAAAACTTTTGGTGATGTTGAATGCTAGATTGGCTATGTGCTATTTTCAGCAACATACATGCTTATAGGCCCAAAAGTATTTCTCTTTACTGACAACAAAAAGAGAACTTTGCCAGAATAGCAGACCAGAATCATATTTTATGCTCTTACTCCCATTATTTTGAAATCTAGCTTTATAATAAGTTTCCATTTTGAGGATCTATCATAACTGTAATAATTTCCATCTGTCATGTCTACAGAGTTCATGCTGTTTCCTAGAATAACAGTGCTTAGAATTAAGAAATGTGGCTTGTTAGATTTAAAGAATACGCTACCATTTAGAGCAGGGTTCTTGAAACTTGGCCCTTTTATGATTTGTGGACTTCAACCCCCCAGAATTCCTCAGCCAGCATGCCTGGCTGAGGAATTCTGGGAGTTGAAGTCTATAAGTCATAAAAGGGCCAAGTTTCAAGACCTCTGATTTAGAGAAATACGTAATTTTTTGAAGGATTATAATATATAGGATGAAAAATATTTAATGATAAAACATATAGTGTGTTAAAAACCAAGTTACATCATGGAATTTTATTATAACTTAATATCTTATCAATTCAATTGATTTGTATTTCTACCCTCTTCCTTTTGAAAATAGAAGTTTGTTTGCCTTTTAAGCAGCCAGCCTTTTTATTTGTCAAATTGAAGCTCTCCTTCCTTGGTTCAGTTAGGAAACTGATGAAAGAAACCATGCTAAGTCTTTCATGGCACTGTCACTGATACAGGCTAATGTAAAGTGTTTATATTGACCATTTTTTGTGATACATTAAAATGACCAAATGGGATCATTTAGAGTACAAATAAGTATATTCTTCATTATACAAAATACAACTTCACAAAGTGAGGATGTACATGAATATTTATGCTGTTTTAAAATCTATTCTAGGTGAAGCAACATGCTTGATTATTAGCTGTTTAATTTTAGACGATGAATTGTAGTTGATTTTAAAGTTGCCAGTCACTCTCAAGGATGCTCCATCAATATTGTCTCAACTTCATTGTATTGTATTATTATCTATCTAATAATATTTTGATGCTATTGTTGGTGATGAATTGTATTTGTATAGCACAGCTTTTGTATTTGTCATTATATCTAACTAAAATGTTTTAAAAATTATATAAATAGCCAACAGGCTGCTCCCTGCTGCTGATGCTACTAGCTTGATAATGAAACAACATAAAAAAAGTTCAGAGCACACAATTCAGCTCTGAGCTATAGGTCACATATTATTATTACATATTATTAAATTATTACAATATAGTTATTATTTACACAGCCATATTGTAGTTGAAAAAGATAATGCAGCAAAGTCTGAAAGTAAAATTTCAAGGACTATGTTGTCTTTCTAAAATCTGAATAACAACTGTTTTCTTAAGCTGTGGACTACATGATCATTAGGAGAACCACCAGTCTAAACATCTGTTGTGGGTCATACTTTTGTTCTGATTTTTCAAATAATATTGTTTGGAAGTAAACTGGTGGTTGCTTAGGTGAGAGTCACCCTATTATCATGGACATATAAGTTTCTGTTTAATTCAAATTAGTTGTGGCTGACTTCCCTTGAAAAGTCAAGGGATTTGTACAAATGGCCCACCTCAGAGTTTCAATGGATTCTGAACTGCCACTGCCTTGAACATGAGCTTGTACAGTTTTCAGTCAAACTCATGTTTTCTTCCAGTAGTGCTGAGTACTAAAGCAACAGAGCTTCCTTTGTTGCTTTCATCTCCTAAATTCTTCAATGATAATGGGACTCTGCCCACTCTTCATTACAGTGGGCAGAGTCTCAATTGAGCTGCCTATGAAACCTTTCAAGATCCCTCTGAAAACTGACTAGAACTATTAGGAACCTGGTATGAATCTAATAGGGCCTTCCCTAATGTATAGGAGTTTGTATCACAGAGTTCCATAGCAATCAGAGAGTAGTCTACTCATGGCAAGAGGAAAAGTTTAATGCCCACCACTTTCAGATACCATTATATCATATTTATTCTGTCCAAACTATTGCAATTAAATAAATGATAGTCTCTTCTAAAGTTAGATTTTGATGTAAATGTTACTCCCTTCCATACATATATTTTTAAAGTCACTTTTCAAAATCACAGGGAGCTTTTATCTTTGCAACATTTAAAGTCAGAAAAAAGACAACATGTACATGAAGTAAGTTGAAAACTGAACCATCTGCTATGAGCAGATGTAAAGTTTTGTGTAAAAAAATTAAAACTTCGCTTCTTTGATTATGAAAGTAAACAAGAAATATCACCTGGGATGTTATTGCTAATGCTATTCGAAATCTATTGTTGTATAATGATTTTGGTGCTTTTGTTCATGGAGCAAAACACTGTTCTGCAGAGGTCAGAATTTAAAAACAAAACACCACAACAATTATGCTCTAAGGAAAAATAATTGATTAGGTAGATGGATGTTAGCATCCTGATGGTTTTTCCATGATGTTGAATATGTGGTTGCCCAAAGGCCAGTTGAGGATTAGACATTGATTTTCTATTTTCATTTCAAAATATTGTAAGTTAACATTACTTCTCTATGCTATTCCAGCTGATAAAGGGGACAGAGGAAAATAGTTGTAAGGATTAGATAAGTATGCAGTTTTAGGATATGTAGTGCAGACATTGGATGAATGAAGATGTAACCCAAGAAATGACAGTATTGAAGCAGAAATAAAATCCATTGGAACTGTGCAAGAAAAAATAATAATCAAGTTGTTGGCTTGCTGTTTAGGCTATGTCATTGTTGTGACCTGGAATTTAAAGAAAATGCCTTGATGAATCAGATTATGAATTCAACCCATCAATTATGTTCCTGTGAGTATACTTTTGTTTATTACAGCATTACTTCAACATAAGGAAAAATATCAGAACTGGCTAGTTTAGTTTTGACCAGACCAGTTAGCATGTAAGGTAGAGGAAAATTTATTTGAATGTTTTAAACCCTTGGTATGCACTTTATCTATTAGCTTGAAATTTATTTGAGACAATTTTCCATCTATTGATGTATATATTTTAGTGTTACCCATTATTAAAGTAGTGTAAAACCTGTCCTCATTAATATTCTTTTGGTACAGTAATATTTAATTGTCCATCATAATGCTGAGAAAAGGCATTCAGATAAGACAATGCCCCCTCTCAGCATTTTGTAAGATGCTACAAACCAATAGTGAGGAAATAGTCTCAAACTGACAGACAATAAATTTGAATGTTTGAGAAAAAACTATCTGCCTCAATGGTAGCACAGTCTTCCTGTACACACTAAAGCAGTGTTTCTTAAACTTGGCAAATTTGTATGCATTTCAACTTTTAGAATTATCCGATGAGCCATGTTGGCTGGTTCATTCTCATAGTTGAAATTCACAGATCTTAAAATTGCTGTATTTGAGAAACATTGTGCTAAAAGTGTGGTATCCACATAAGACAAAGATAAAAAATTGTGATGAACATGACACATTTTTCAAGGCTTTAGGTCAGTATAAAATATATTTCTTAGAAGACATGCAGATCATGCAGTCATCAAGAGCAGAAAGGAAATAGAAATCTTCAGCTGTGCTAGGACTTCAGTTTCTAGAATTCCCATCCAGCCTGGCTAAAACTGGAAATATTAATTTGATGAAAGTTGTTGGAGAAAAAGAAACTTCAAAGAAGATAATTACTTTTAAGGAAATTTACTTTTAATTTTTTTTAAAATACATGTTTTGAAAAATTAATATTGGCTAACTCTAGCTTAAATAAGTCTTGAATTAAAGATGACTTTTATAGAAAAATGTGCAAGAATGGTGGCAACCAACTTTATGCATATGATCAAATGTGACCAAAAATTAGTTTACAGGGTCATAGAACAAAATTTTTGCTATAATCCAGATTGCCTATATGTATCAGGGTTTTTTGTGTGTGTGTCAATTGGAATTGAATATAAAGTTGAATCATTTCCAGTGGAGATGCGATATTAACCTTAGAATACAGTTCCTTCCTTCCTTACCATTTATCAATATATGCTCCATTTTATTGGTAGACATCTTCAAATTACTTCTTACCTATTCACAGCAACCAAGATAATAACATATAATAACAGGCAGGGTTGATAAACTTGGAAAAGACTGTCAGTTTTAGGGCATTCAACAAAAGCAACTGGAGGAAAAAACATTAGGTTAGGTTAGATTTGGTTTCATAAAACAAACCTGTGCAGTTCATACATTTTCATTACCTACTGTACATTTAAGTTAAGAAATCATGCATCCTATTATAGAAAGTATTGGAAAGTTTTAAAAAGTGGGATAAAAGGAAGTGATACAAACAGTAAAAGGATCAATAATTTTTAGAAAGAATGAATGATATACTAAACAAGAAGAAACAGAAATATTTTGTTGTGCATGTTAAAATATCTATAGATATATGAGATACATTGCTGAGAAAATTATTGTATCAAAAAGTTATGCATGCAATGAATCAGGTGTAGTTTTGATGCTTTTATAACTTTTATTACCACAATCAAATCTAAATAAAAGATTGAGGCTAAGAATAGAAACTCTATCAAGGAAGGTTCATTTAAGTTGCTTATTTATTTTCTATTATTTATTATATTTATATTCCACCTTTATTATTTTCATGAATAACACAAAGCAATGAACATTCATAATATCCTTTATTCTTCTATTTTCCCTGCAATAATAACCCTTTACGTGGGTTTGGCTGAGAGAAAGTGACTCCCTTAAGGTCACTGAACTGGTTTTCATGTTGAAGGCAGGACTTGAAGTCACACTCCTGGTTTCTAGGCTAACTTTAAAAAAAGCATAGGGAATAGAACTCTAGTCCTCCCCCCCCCATTATTGGTTTTATTGGAAAAAATGAATTTCCAGGGTAATGTGATATAAAAAACCCGTTATTTTTGTTCTTCATCAGAGCCACCATGATAAATATACTCTTGCATTTCAGTTTAATAACCCCTAAAATATTTTTGTTAGTACATTCCTTTATCTATTTAATCTACTTTTGATATATACTGACATCAGAAACAGGGTGATGCTGGATTCTTTTTTAAAAAATATGTTTTATTATTTTTTTTATATAATCACCTTAATATTTGGTAAACATTGTGTTGTCTGGGTTTATATTTAAAAAATAATCACTAACAATTAGTTTCTATAATTCTATAGTCCACATAATAGCTTTGCTTGATGTTCTTCCAAAAATGTTCTCTTTTGCCAACCTTGAATTAATACAATTCTTATTATTTGGATAAATAACAATTAAATATAGACATTTTTCTAATATTTCTGCAAATAATAACCACATTGATATAAAGCTTCTTTTCTAATTGTTTATCTTGATTGCCTTATTATAGATCCTGTTTAAAATTCTTATTTAAATTTGTTTTCCCCATAATATTCAAAAGATTCTTACTGGTTAAGATTTTCATTACACTTAAGTATTTAAGTCTTTTTCCTTATACAGGCCATCCCAACACTTTACATTTCTCATACCTTAAAAAAAAGAAGAAAAGAAAAGAAATAAGAAGATAGTGTACTAATTAAAATACGTATCTCTTTTCGACTAATGTACATTTATATCCAGAATTTTTATTTTCTTTTTAACCATATTCAATCATATGTTTAATCTTTAAGTGTTCCATTTAATAAATCTATTTTTTTAGATCTAATCAAAACATTTTTATCCATTCAAAGTTTTCTCAAGATCAATTTCACTTAAGTATCTAAAACATTTCCATTATATAAACCATCCCAACATTTTTATATTTCTCATGTCAAAAAACAAAACACAAAGGAAAAAAGAAAGAAAAAATATTATATTACTTGAGGGGTTCATTTTTAAACTAAAATTCATTTATATCCAAAATTTTTCTATTTCTTTAACCATATTCAAACAGATGTTTAATTTTCAAATATTTCCTATGATAGATCCCATCATCTAATTTCTTGATTCTCACTTTAGCCTTTTTTTTTTTACCAGACATCTTTCCTGATCAATATGTTTCGCTGAATCAAAGAGTCTTCCCATAGTCTTGTGGATGTTGTTGTATGTCCAAAAGGCAAATCAGGTAAGATGTTTTTATAGGACGGTTTCCCCCCTTCATATTCATTGATTTTTTTCCTTTTTCTTTCTGTCTTAATTTTTCTTATCATTTTTTGACTCTTAAGTTCTTGTAGTTCTCCTGATAGCTCTGTAATACATTTTGTCAAATCTTTTTTCTTATCCTCAGACTTATTTTGTGATCTTAGAGTATAAGTTATCTTTTCTGTGTCCATTATTTCCTGTAAGTTTTTTTTCCACCTGGGTTGAGTTATATTTCCTTCTGTTGTTAGGTTCCATCTTTAAATCTCTCTTCCCTGTTTCATCAGTTTTCTGTTTTTTCTGCCCACTCTCTATTTTTATTTTCTGAGAGTTTTTTTGTTGTAAAATTAAATTGGAGATACATTCATTTATATTTTCAAAGTTATTTTTAATTTCCTCATGATTTGAGATCATTGTTGTTTGAATTAGTTGCAACATAGCATATATCTCCTCCTGGAAAGTATTTGTTTTTTCTTGGTATGTTCTTTTTGCAGATCTCTGATTTTCCATGATAGCCAAAAATCAGGGTTTTCCTTTCTCTGCAGACAGCTTCAAAGTCACAGTTGAATAAGTATTTGTAATCCACAAAGGTAATTTTTTTTTCTTCTAAAGTTTATAATTCTTGTTTTGTAGGTAGCCCAAGATGTTTTCTTTTTTTGTCATAGCTGTTCTCTGTTATTAAGACATTGAAGGTAAAAAAAAAAAAAAAAAAAAAAAACTTATCTTTTCCTGGGCTTTGCCAGTTCCTGTACTGAAGCAACTACTATATTTTCATCCACCACTAGATGTCAGCAGTAGTTTGTTTTTCAGTTTTCAAAATAAATAATTGTTTTCTTCTATTTTCATGATTTAAAAGGGAAATCTTAACACATTCCACCAATTTCAAACTTACCCATATTAGGTCTTATATTCGTTTAATTTCAGTATATTTCTGTCGCCATGTAAAGGTTTAATTTGCCGCTTCCATTCTGTAGAAGGGTAGGGCAAAGATCCCCCTCCTTCTCACTTTTGGAGGCTTTTTGCTTCTTGGTTTTTCCCCCCCCAGGAAATCAATTATCAGGTAGAAGAGAGAAAAATCACTGTTCTTACCTAGTTCCAAGCACGTTGTTTACAGTCAGCTTAAAATAGTGCTTTTGGGCTTCAGCTGCTTGTAGCTTGGGCTAGACTCTGAAGTTAAACTAGCCTTTCTCCTGCTGGTTTCTAGAAGGCTTTTCCTAGACCGATTGGATCGACCACCATCTCTCCATACTCGGTGGAACTTCACTCCTTCTTTATCACCTCTACAGGGCTTCTTCAGGCCCATTTAGGGTCCCCTAACAGGCAGAAATCAACCATAGGGTGCCGAGCCCCGCGATCCCTCGGCTGCTGCACTACTGCGCAAAACCGGAAGCTGTTTTAGGGTAATGCTGGATTCTGTTCATTGCTTTTTAAAAGTGTGTTTCATAATTATTGCCACATGTTGTATAATTTTAGTATTTGCAGTATAAATAATGGTAAAGTGAATCTACCAAATATTTCCTCCATATTTTTAAATTCCTGAACACTGTGTTCTTTAACTCAGCATCTTAGAGAATTTTGCAAAGGTGTTTTGAGGAACAGAAAGAGCAATTTTTTGTTTAGTAATAAATAATCTACATTCTATAAATTAAGAAGTAGATAATATTTACAATGACATTGATAAAGTAGATTAATTTTGTTTATAAAATTGTTTCTAACCATTTTAGGTTAATATAATTTGCTTTAGATTTTATCTACAAATATTGTATATGTATCCTGATTAAAACTGAGTGACTTCTCTATGGGTCAAAACTGAAACAGACAGAAAGAATATGCTTCCACATTTGTAGCAATCAGAATTTAGAATAGTGGTACTATGCTCAGTTATATTAGTAAAAGAAGCTTGTGTTTTCATATAGCCTAATGAAGAATGAAAGGAGAGGAAGAAAACATGCAGGTTGCAGTTTTAGTCCAATCAGATGCAAAGTTCAATTTATGTTAATAGATGGTGCTGTTAAAATTATTTACATACTGAACAGTTTTCTGATTTCACTATTTTAGATAGCATTAGTATAATATGCACTGTAATAAATTTCTTCTGAAGTGATATTAAGCCTTCTGTTGTTTAATTTTGGTAACAATGTATGCAATTTGTGAATCTTGCATTTCTCTCCACTGAATTAGCATTCATAGTCCAAACACTTACAGAGTTAATATAGAATTTTATTGTACTAAGCACATTGTGTCATTTATTGATATCGCATGTTATGGGTTTTGCTTGGCCTTGATTTTATTCTTCTACTTGTTTAATAAGGAGTTTAATAATGATGTGAAATTAATAATTGAGATGGTAGTGAGAAGCACATTTTTATAATCAAAGCTAGTGTCTCAGCATGCATTGTAGGGGTATAAAATGCAGATCTTGAAACCAGGCCAGTGTGCTCCTGGAATCCAATCCATAGGGAAGGATCCAGGGGGCCGCATTTGCAAACGCTCCTCTCTTCTATTCTTTTTCTTTTCTCTTTTATTCTGTTTATATTATTCTCCAATAAACCTTTGTTTTGTTAAAAAAAAAGCTAGTTTCTCAGTTGCTATATTTCTTCAGTTAGTCATTTGGGGCCACAGTTATCCACACGTTGGTTAAATACCATCTTGCTTGCTTTTGCTCTGTGTTAGAAAAGCAAATTGAAAGTTGCAGTTGGTGTAAAATGTAGCAGTTGGGCAAGTTTAACATAAGAGGCTGAATAGAAAGCTTAACTAGTAAAAACTAGTTGCCAGTTGCTTTTAAGGTAACAATTAAAGAGGCCAAATGATTTAGGATCATCTTTCATGATAAGACCCTTTTTTATCATCAAGATCTGCAAGAAAAGCCATTCTAAACTGCAAATTGACACAGGCTTGTTTATCTGCCACAAGAGAAAAATTTCTTCTGCATTGTAATGTATTCCTTTAGGAATTCCAAAGATGCTTTTTCATGAGGCAACTGGATTTTCTTGGTTTTCTTTGAACCCGTTTTGCTTCTCATCCAAGAAGCTTCTTGAGCTTGTTGGATGAGAAGTGAAATGTCTTCAAAGAAAAACAAAGTCCAATTGCCTCGTGAAAAAGCATCTTTGGGAAATTATGATGTGGATGACTGAGAATCTAGAAGAATGGGGAAAATGCAACTTTGTCCAGAACCAGAGATGACAAAAACTTGGATCCTGAGGCTCCATACACCCAAAGCCACTCAGTTCTCCTCTGAATCATTCAGGTGTTCATTGGCAAACTTCAGATGGCTCTGTATGTGAGCTTTCTTGAGCAGGGGGACCTTGTGGCACTGCAGGATTTCAGTCCTTCACAGCATAGTGTATTACCAATTGTTTTCTTGGTGATTATGGTCCCAGCTGCCTTGAGATCATTGACAAGATCCTCCCGTGTAGTTCTGGGTTGATTCCTCACCGTTCTAATGATCATTGAAATTCCACAAGGTGAGATCTTGCATGGAGACCCAGACCGAGGGAGATTGACAGTTATTTTGTGATTCTTTCATTTGTGAATAATCGCACCAACTGTTGTCACCTTCTCACCAAGTGTCAACGCTGCTAACATTGAATGTTCTTGCTTTGACAACAGATGGAAATGTAGCCATCTTTTCTCTTTCACTTTTAGAGTTAGTTGATGCTGGGAGGGGGGATGTGGATGAGAGTCCAGTTAGTCATAACAATAATAACTTAGGCATGGGAATCCAAGGTTATTGCGCCCAGAGTTGATAAAGATTTGGCGGGCTGGAGAGCTGGGGAGAAAGCCCGTGCTTCAAGCTATTTGGGGAAAGTGATTTATGACTGTTAATTGGAGGAGGGAATTGTGCCTTGCTATTTTGTGCCAGGGGAGGGTAATTTAGTTTTTGGATTTAACTATGTAGTGCCGATACTTTGTTTCTCTAATAAAAGATTCTTTAAGGTAAACAATGCATCAAAGTTCTTTTGAAGAGATTCATCTATCGGAACCATGACATTAAGCCAAAAACTCCAATTTTTACCTAACTATCTTGGGGTCCCAAGCCCCATTTGCTGTCCCTGGAATTGAGGGATAGACCGACAAAGATTCGGGGAAGATCTCAGCATGGAGAAGGAAGGAATGCCTGAAACCAGCACCCTGGCAGTGGCTGCTACCCCAGAGGGGGGAGCGCAAGCCTGCGCACTGGTGAAGAAAGAACTTTTTCAGGCCTCTCAGTTGGGGGCAAAACCCAAGTCATGAGGACAGCTGATCTGGTTGTTGGAATGGACTCTACCCAGTAGTGACTCCAGACACCTCGAGATGGCCTTGCCACAATCAAATGCTTCAAAGGCAGACGAGGTTGAGCTGCCAAGAGGAGATTCCCGCATGTCACATTCTCCAGACCACCAAATTGTCTACCACTGAGGACTCGGGTGAGTCGAAGTACCTATCCACAGCCTGTAGTCAATCAGTGGAGAAGCTGGTGGAAAGAGTTGATGAGTTGGAGATGAAAAGTGGAGAACAACCTTTCCATTCCCCATACACAAGTGATCATAATGCTTGGCGAGGCAGCCACCAACTCCTATCAAGGGGAACCCCCAGCCCCACCTGTGCAGATCAGGCAGCCTCCCAGTCCTCAGCAACAACCACCTCCAGGGCTGCAGGAGGGCCTGCAGCAACTGGGGACACCACAACGCCCCGCAGGCCAGCAGCACTGGGGATGGCAGCAGCCCCTGCCCATGCAGCAACCACTGGGAGATGGGAGCAACTAGTGGTGCCACTAAGTAGTCACTGAGACCGGTGGGAGTCATACAGCAATTGGGGATGCCACAGCCACCAGCAGTACAGCAACAGCTGTGGGGGTGGCAACAGCCCAAAGCATGCAACAACCGCTGGGAGGCTTGTAGCAACTGGGGATGCAGCCGCCATGGGGGGGCCCAGCAACAGTTGGGGATGCAATATCCACAGTGGGGAGGCCAGCAACCACTGATGGTGCCTTCGATGGGGACCCGGAGAAACTGATCTTTTTCCTCAACTAGGTGCACTCTCACTTGAACTGCTGTGCCTATTTCTACCTGAACCCAGCCGCTATGGTCGATATAATTGCATCCAGCTTGGAAGGGGAAGGATCTGAATGGCTGAACAGTTTATATAACGAGCAAGAACCCGAGTTGGAGGACCCCCATCTCTTCCTCTTAGGACTGAGAGCGAGGTTCGAGGACCCATCCATTGCCCTCAAAATGGAGGAACCACAAAATAAAACAAGCAGGCAGGCCTGCACTGGAATACGTATGAGAGTTTTGCAAGATAGCTGGCCAAATAGAGAGGTGGTCCGAGCAATCCCTAGTCCATCACATCAAGGAGGGACTAGACGACCACCTCTCCCAGGCCTGTATCTATCAAGCAGTCCCTGATCAACTGCAAGAATGGTACCAGGCAGCAGTAAGATTAGATGTTCAGCTCGTCCACTATAAGAAGCCACTCCCACAAGAAGCTGAGTTGAGGCCAAATCAAGCCAAATGACAGCCACCCCCCCCCGAAAGCCTCCAACCGCTGTGGCTACTGAAAATCCCAAGTCACCTGCTGGCTCAACGATCAAATGTTTCAGATGTGGACAACAGGGACATCGTGCAGCGAGTTGCCCAGTCCCTTACCCTCAGCAGTAGAATAGACCAGGACCACCAGCGAGAAACCTGCCCAGCAGCCGATGAAAGAGAAATCCAACTGTATTGCACAGGAACCGGTTGCCCCAAGTCATGTCCCCCACACAGGAGAGTACCGACACCCAAGCTGGACCTGCCACCGCTCTACCCGCCTACAACAGCAACAATGAAGGAGAGAATGACCCGATGGTGAGTCGACACATCCCACCTTTCTCACTACCTGCCAAACTCATAATCCCTAATATGGGGGCACAGGTAGATTTAAAACTACTAGCTGACTCCAAATGCTCCCGGTGTGTTATTAGCTTGTCGCTTGCCCTGAAAATGGGCATACGAGTAAGGCTGCTCTCCAAACCCATGGGGTTTGAGCAAACCAATGGTTCCCTAATGGGAGGAACTTTAGTCACGCAATTGACTGAACCCCTATGCTTAGAAATAGGTGAGCACTGGGAGTTTGTTCATTTCATGGTGGCTCCGAAAATGACTGAGGCTGTGATCCTAGGACTAGTCTGGTTGGACAAATGGAAGCCGTTTGAGAAGGTAATAAGGACTGTGAGGTTACCCATAGGACCCAAGCCCCCCCTTAACTTGATGGACGTTACAGGAGACTTTAGCTCAACCAATGATCTAGTGCACATGGCTGCCTTGTCTCAACCAGGCGAGCCACTCATCCCCAGTGAATACTGGGACCTAGTGGAGATGTTTAATGAGAAAAAATGCGACACCCTACCTCCCCACTGACCCAATGATTGCTGTATCGAACT